CTATGATTCTATGATTCTATGAATATAAATAGTTTTCTACAACTGCACAGCTTTGCTGAATGAATTGAACTAATCACTACAGTGTAAAACACAAAAGGACAATTTGCCATCTTGTTCATTGTCATGACTACCACAAATCTTACCGTTCATCACACACAGGACTAAACATGCTCCAAGTATGTGTTTGCAAAGAGAAGTCCCAAGAGCTGGAGCCCTTTGAAATTTCTTCCTAATCTGTGCCCCAAAGATTGTATCATCTCTCTGTTAGGTCAGCTCTTCCTTTAGTCTGGCTTATGATTCCAGTTTTTATCACCTATTCAATAGCTTTTTAAAATAATATTTCTTTGCTTTCTTCCATGCATCTTTCCCTGTTTGGGAGGGATCCTTTATAAACATCCGTGAAGCTCTGTTACTTCCATCACTCTGATTCCTCCTTAAAATTCTCATTTGCTCTAATGGCTTATAAAACAATGCCAATGCTTAACTGTCAACATGCTGTGACTGGCAAGTATCAGATCAAGAAAGTATTCTTCAGTAGTTAGTGTCCGCCTCACTGTTTGTTTGAACACATTTGTGGTTTCTTGCCTTATGCTTGGATTGTAAGCTCCTAGGAGGAAGCACCTTCTTGTAGTTCTATGGATGTACAGTAGCTAGGAAAAGAGAGTGCTAAACTAGGGACCTAAGCCTTGCCACACACACTCTCCTATAAAGTAATGAGAAATAATAATAATAATAAAGATCAAGTTTGTCTAACATGCATGCTGTTGCTGAAAAATATTGGAGTTGCTATACAGTTTTAGTTGTGATGGATTTTATTTGGCATATAGGGAACAGAGAATGTGAATTTAACCAAAAGATCTTTTCTGAAAGAGATTTTTTATTTTCAGTGATATGAAAAAAATATTAACAAAGATGGAGATCAGATTTTGGGAAATTCTGAATTTGCTTCTCTTACAAAGTAATGTTGTCTCACTGAAACTGGCACTTAATAAAGCACTTTTTAGCATCGTTAAGGCCAGTAAGCAGCTGGTTCTTGGTTAGGATAGCATGCCTTTCTCTGTGGCTAAGTCCGAAAATACTGTGTATCTCTAAGGCTGAATAAATTCAGTATGCAGATATGTTTCCTTGGAAACAACTTGTAATTTTAAAGCACATGCAGCAGTGCAGCCCTTATGTAATTTATTAATGTGAAAGACCTGGCTCTCGTGAGCCTTATTAAATAGATCAGCCTGTATTGGCAGGAAAAAGGAATTTACTTTGATTACAAATACAGCTTTTCAAGTGCTATTAGATACTGAGATATTCATGAGTGGAACTGATATTACTGCTATTGTGCCAAGTTGTATTGCCTATTTGGGTGAAACAGTTCATACACTTTCTTCCTGAAGAATATGAATACTCAGGACATTCTGCCTATTCTAACAACTTCCTTTTTTATTGCTGCTAGGGTGCCACAATTTAGAAAAGGTTATCTTGCTCTTCCTTTTTAGGATGCCACATTCCAGGGAACAGAAATCCTAGTTTGAGTTTAAACAAAGGAAAATTCTCCATTCAGTTCCTTCTCAGGGCACTATTTCAGCTATGTCCTGATTTGTATTGCAATAACATGAACGATCCTCACAGATCTGTATTTTAGACTCATAAAAATATATAGTGTCTCTATTCCAAAGCAGTCTCCAGACTGGACTGAACAACACTTCAGTAAAGCACGTGGTTCGGCAGAATTGTTTGTGGCAGGGAATTATTAGGAGTCAGAATGGCCCAGTCAGGTTCTAAGCAGGAGAAGGAAGTTGTTCATCTTCCTAAGCTTTTCGATAGCTGAGATACCAAGCTAAGTAACTTCCCTGAACTCATGCAGACTGAGAATTCAGTTTAGGTTTCTGAGCTGTCGGTGAAAGTGTCTGTCAAAACTGCCTCTGTATAAGGTCTCGAATAAGTAACTACCTGTCCCTCCCCTCAAACAGAACACATTGCTCATCCCTCCATTAGTTGTTTACTTCTTTACTTACGAAGCTGCTGAAATGGTCTCCTAGAGTCAATGAGGTGTCTGTTTTGGTTTCATAAGCATCATCTTTTTTTTTTTAAAAGCAAACTGAAGAGTGATAACAAATAATTTCCCATCTTGAATTTCCTCTGCTGCCCTGAGTCTGAAAGCCTTTGTTCTCCCAGGCGTACTCTCCTAAAATTACCTACCTGGCTTGATGGACACTGTTTCCAGTTCACTGATATGCCTGAGATCATTGTGCAATCGTGTCTTTGTTGTGACCTTTTTTCTGTAATGTAGACACCTCAGACTATGTCCAGGTAGATTTTACATTGTGTTTTTGTTTAAACAGATTTGCCATGTTCCACAATGTCAGGATACCTAAAGAAAACATACTGAATATAGCTGGAGATGTCACAGCTGAGGGGAAGTACTCAAGTTCAATCAAGGTATGAATCAAGGTTTTGTTTCATTAATACAGTTCATTAAATATACAAACGTATAAGTAGGTTAAGAGATAGAGCATGGGCCTCTCATGTTGGGAAGTACTAGATACTTGGACTTAAACAAGGCTGTTGACGGTTTCACGAGATAGTCAGAATGCTGGTTTTTTAATTGCCTTTCAGAGATGTCTCAACTCACCTTACTGATTTTACTGACAACTTGTTCTTTGGGCTACCCTGCTGATCCCAAAGTAGTTTCGAGAAACTGCTTTGAGTCTTGCCTGAATGCCTTATCTGAATGTGTCAAGAAACAAAATTGGCCAATCTTCTGGGCTTCTGATCATGCTACCAGAGTTGTATCTTTATGGGGGATGTAAATGAAATGTTAGCATCACCATTCAGTCTGTGCCTTTTATTCATTCAGGATGTTAAAGAGCGTTTTAGTGCAGCTCTGGGATCCTTGTCCACTGGCAGAATTCTGATCACCGCAGTTTCCATGACCAATTTAAAGCTTGCCTTATCAATAGCCATTCGCTTCTCAGCAGCTCGCCGTCAGTTTGGACCAACTGATGACGAAGAAATACCTGTTCTTGAATACCAAACACAGGTAAATACTTCGGAATTCACATCTACAGACTTTTATATAATGAAACTCAGATTCAGAGCTACTGCAGATCAAAATAGCAACAGTGAAGTTAGTGAAATTAAAGTTGTCTATGTCATCTGAAGTGTCATTTTAGTGCAGCTGTGGGGATTCATTCCAACTCAAGATCTTCTCCTGGCATGATCAGGCTTTTGACATAGGTTCTTGGAATAGCAAAACCCAAAATACTCATGTTTCTCTGAAGTACCTAGAAACATTTATCTTCTAAAATAGTAACCTTTTCAGAGAAAGACTGTCTTCTGTGCACACAGAAAGTACTGCAGATGTAGGAACTAGTATTTGTTTAAAAATGTCGTCCCTCTTTTGCTGCTATGCTAATTTTCTCTTTTTTAGCCTTTATGCTGTAAAAGTATAGAAATCAATTAAATTCATTATGGTGAAGTCTCAAGCTAGCACTAATTTTTAGAGGAATATAACCAAGGTTTTTCTCCATATTATGCAGATGAAAAACACCTTTTGCTCTGAAAAAATAGAACAAGAGTATGTAGGGTAGCTGGGAAATAGAGAAAAGTTAGATCTGCTGAATGAGAAAGGTTAATATATAAGAAGTGCCGAAAACAAACCTGCCCAGTTTGTCCTTGCAAAGTGGGTGCTTTTTTCCAGGTTTGCATTTAGTCTTGCAACTTTAAAAGATTTCATGGGTTTCCACAAACTGGTGAAAGCTGCCTTCTTTCCACCTCTTGTGAATAAGCCAGGGTCTGCTTCCTACTATTCTTCAACTCTCTCAATTTTTCTCAGTTTTGGCTTGTTCTGTGGGCTCTGCTTGCTGAACCTCTCATTCCCTTCTTGCTCTGCCACAAAAGCTTCCTCAAGCAGTTTCTCTTTTCCTTCATGGGCTCCGAGTTGCATGGAGCAGCAACAATGCTTTTTTCTCTGCTTCCCAGCCCTGTATTTTTCACAGAATGCAACCAGCATTAACATACATTCAGCAGTGAACAAGCAAGTGAAACAGCTACAATCTCTGTCATGTTGGTATTGAAGAAACACATGAATCATAACTTGGCCTGGCATGCCAGACACTGTATAAACACAGGGTAAAAATGTGTCTTTGGTCCCCAAAGCTTCAGTGAAATTTTGCATTGGTTTAACAGAATGTTTATCACAAATACATAAAATGCATGAACTAGAATAACGTAACTGTAACTTGTGTATAGAGTAGTTACATTTAATTATGTTTGTAGATGGTTATTGTTAAGTTCTCTTCTCCATGAAACAGTTTTCCAATTTGAACAAAGTAAAAACGAATGGGTTGGTTCAAGATAATTACATATATATAACAAGATAGTTACATATATGTAACTATAAAAATATATACTAATTTGCGATCAAATCTATTTAATTTTTATTTTAGCAATGGCGTCTTCTTCCTTATCTGGCTGCTGCATATGCCTTAGATTATTTCTCCAAATCCTTGTTTGAGAACTTCGTAGAATTTTATGCAGGCTTATTGACAAAGCAAAGGAGTCAGAGACAGGTGAGATATTTACACATTTCTTCTTTGCTGACTTCTTACTATAATATCTGGAAATTGTTAAATGAAGGACCTACTTAGAAGTCTTAGGCCATCTAACAATGAAAATGCTAGAGCAATGTCTCAGAAATATGGGACATAGAAATTAATGATTAAAGCTGCATTCAGAAAAGCATCCAAATTAGTTTTGATGGAGTGGTTAAAGTTTTATTGATTTCTGTGGGATTTAAGGTTATGTTCCCTTGCAGAATTGTTTATCATAAATATATGATGATAATGCAAATGCTTGTAACTGTTGTAAATGATACTGCAGGGGGCATATATCAAAGACTTTCTGAAATGATACTATTCTTAATTCCTGCACAGACTCTGTGAGTCTGGCTTGAGTTTGCAATTCACATTCATACATTAGGATAAATATTTTTGGAGAAAAAAGTTAAGGCTTTTGAGTCTTAATGCTGAATTTCCCATCCACAGTCAGACCATTGGAAATCACCCCTTTACAGAGGAAGTAGTTTGATCTGTCTGTCTCTGTGCAAGGACTGATTCTCAACCAAAATAACTGCAGTATGTTTTTTTTTATAGCATATAAATTTTATTTAATTTTAAAATTTTTGACAATATTAATTTAGGCCTACACACTGGCTGTGTATTGCTCAGATCTCACTTAAACACTCAGGCTTTTTTCAGCTAAAATAAAGCTTATGAAGGATTTGTGTACTAAAGCTGGGTATTCTAATTTCTCATCTTTGCACAAACCAAATCTGTTTGATTTTTTTAATCTGATATTTTATCTTCGGAGGCCTCCAGTGCAGTCACTAATCTTAGGCAAAACAGTGGCTATCAGAAAAAAAATTGTGATAGAAAAAAAATCTGATTGTTGACAATATTAAGAATGTAATCCTTATGAATTCCTTTTGTTCTACGGGAGATATTAAAAAACAAACAAACAAACAAAAACAACCAGGGAGTTACTCTTAAACAAGCTTCGGTAGTATCAACTCACTATCTCCAAAAACTGGAATTCCAAACACATTTTCAAAGGAGGGCCAACAGAGTTAGTGTAAATGCAGGCTACTGTGATTCTCTGGAAATTGAGAGGATACATTTAAGTTTTTCTACTCTTTGCAAAAGAGTAGAAAATGCTTGAAAGATCAGTGAAAACCATGTAAAGCAGTAAATATTATAAATATCCTCTTGCTGACTGGGGAGAGATTGCTTATGTCACAGAGGGAATAGAAGCTTTCTCTGGACGTGCCACCTTCAACCATCTGCCTCTCCATCTGTGGGAGGGAAAGGTCGGCAAGCAGTGAACTACTCCATGCAGTGCCATGTCAGCTGGCACATCTGAGCTAAGATGTACCCATGTGTCCATTACCTGGCACAAATTATTGCTGTCCCATATAAGAAAGTTAGTGCTGAAGGTTTTTCAGTTGTGGCAGGGTTTTTTTATGGCAGCGAAAAATATGCTCTGCCCTTACATAGATCTCAGAAAATTTTATGTATGTATTGCCAGTTACTCTTTTCTTCATTATAAAGCAGTACATGTAGCTATGGCTTTAACTGGTCACAAACTTACTTTGTGTAAAAGTTATTACTCACTTGTAACTTGTTTTTCACAAAGGCTGATTTGGGACGTGAGATTCATGCCTTATCTGCTGCCAGCAAACCACTGTCGTCTTGGATTGCTCAGCAGGCAGCCCAGGAGTGCCGAGAAGCTTGTGGAGGACATGGTTACCTTGCCAGTAAGTTACAGACTACTGCATGCACTGATCAGAAAGAGAATGGTTATGTTGATGTGTTCTTTGACTGTTGTTGTATCATGGTATCTGAATTTTAGCAATATTTTTAGAAAGGGTTTTTTCCTCCTCTCCATATTTTTAAAGTTCATTTCATACCTGATACCACAAAAAAACCCTAAACCCCTGCAGCATCTGCACCAGCATTTGGACAGACTCTACATGTGATTCAGACTCAGTTCCAAAAATAAAGATGCAGACTTTATAGATGAAAATTCCCCTTGTAAGATGAATGCCACACTTTTCTAAAATCTTTTCAGTATATTCATTTTCACAAGCTAAACAGTGAACTTTCAAGCTCATCTGTTGGTAACAATAGCTATACATAGAGGAACAGACAACTCTCTTGCATTTTGTCACAGAATAATTATTTAATCCCTCTTAGCTTCCTTTAATACATTGCAATATATTAAATTGTGCACTTGTTCTTATTAAGTGAATCGTCTGGGTGAAATCCGAAATGACAATGATCCAAACTGCACATATGAGGGAGATAACAACGTCCTGCTTCAGCAAACCAGTAACTATTTAATGAGCTGGATGAATTGCATAAGAGGTAAGTTTTCATTGTGGAATCCTATGCTGGACCCAACAGTGTGTAGCTAATGGAATTAGGAGGTAATTTCATACTGAAAGCAATTGACAGTCATTTAATTATTTTGTAGAGCATAAATAATGTGCTACAGACTCCATCATATGATAAATTCACAATACACAGATATTTGCTGCAAGAAATATTCCTTCTCTGAAGTCTTGCAGCAGCTAGCTAGATGTTTTGCCATCCCTAATCAGGTTAAGTGGTATCTTATTCCCTGAGAAGTGCAGTTTAGTTCAATGGAACTACTCCTAAAGTCGTCGTAAGTCTGAGTACCCTCTGCTCATTGTACTTAAACCAGTTCCTATCGCCTAACTTGGTAGCAATATCCATCAGTACATTTTGTAGTTCTCTAGATTCTGTTTCCATTTTCTGGCAGTGAGTTTCATCAGCATCTTACAGAACTGGAAAACTCAGCAATAGAAGTTGAATCTTATGGGGCTTATAGGCAGTGATATCAGGTTTTTCAGCACTTGTCCACCAGTCCTCATTTGGCTGGACTAGGCCATAATAAAATAAATATTATGGCCTAATTGCATCTGGCCTATCAAGTGTATGCATGGCTTTGTAATAGGCTTTTAGTTCCAAAGATTCTGATTTCTTTTCTCATAAATTGTTTTTATTTTCTTTGGTATTTCAGATAAAGCTCCTTTTGAATCCCCTTTTGGAACAATAAATGTTTTGCAAGACTACCATCATATCCTTGGCTGGAAATTCACAGCCACTAGTGTTGAAGATTGCATGGACTCCTCAGGTAGCCTTCTGCTGTTGTTAAACTGATTCTAGAATCTTAAATTCCTTTCCAGAGGAAAGGATCCAGAGATTTGAGATTCAACCTCTGCTACTTACTAGATATTTGTCATATTACTATTTGCTGACTTTCTTTGTATTATATGCATTTCAATTTACTAAGAACACAGTTTGCGTTTCAAAATATGTCCTATTGTCCCCAGCCTCAATTCTGGAATGGAGGAGAGCATCAGATATTTTTCTTCCATTTTTGTTCCGTTAAAATAGCATTTGTGATCTAGGTTTTTTGCCACTGTATTGTTGTTTTCAAGTGAAACTGTTGTAGGGGGCATTGATTGCCACTACCTTCTGTCACTAAAATACCTTATTTTAGAAAACCATACAAGTGATTTAGAAATACGTTGAAAAGACTTTAAGTATGTCTGCTTTTGACAGTTGCTTTTGGTTGCATAGAGAAAAATGAATAATGGTTTTCCTGGCTTACTCTGCTATAATCAAATCAAGTACGACATGAGATGCCATTCCCACTTTTGTATCACTGTGAGCCCAGATTGGTCCTTGGAGGCAAAAATTAACAAAGAAATGAGCAGATAATGAGATAGTGACAGGGCACTGAGCAAAAGTGAATCTGTGAAACTGAGAACATACTGGGGGAAGAAACTCCAGTCTTAATATATAAGGGGCAATCGAGTTGATTCCTAGAATTCAGTAACCACTTCAGTGTTCAAATAATTGCAAAAAAGCTGAACTTCAGATAGCGATGCATAGTACCAAGTGAGGTAGTATCATAATAGCTATGAGGTAAAATCTGAATAACTTCAAAATACAAAGGCTTTTAAGAAAAAGACTAGTTCAAAACAACTGCTTCCTTTCTTCTTTGTTGTATGTCTCCAACTTGTGAAATTCAGCAGAGCACAAACTGATACCTAAGCACATGTTCTCTCCTCTCTTGTAATACCTACTGAACCAGACTATAGTTTTAAAAATACCTGAATCTGTTTATTGTTCCATTCTGTCAGAACCTTGACTGTTAATTTAGGTGCCTAAATTTAGGCAGCATGTGAACACTCACAATTGCCTAAATAATATTCTACGTTAATTCTTAAGCTAAGACACAAGCAAGCAGGATTCATACAAGAACTTTATGCTGAAGTACTTTTTTTGTTAATAGTTCCAGGCTGCTCTAAAAATATAACACACTTATGTACAAAGCAGGTCATTCAAATGTGATTACATTCAGCCACCTTCGCAATGTTAGAAGTCATGTGCTTCCACAAAATGTGGACTGTCTTCTGTTCTTGTACTCTCAGAAGAGACTGAGTACCTTGCAGACCTAAGTCTTAATACAGGAAGAAAATAAAAAACTAAAAAAATTCCATCGAGTCAGAAGTCTAAATTGAGCTGTGGCTATACCTTGTCTTTTAGCTTGAGGTCAGTTTGAACCAGTGTGTGGTCAGGCATGGTGTGTCTTCACTGTGCAGTTACAATCTGACTGTCTTAGAATCATAGAATCATAGAATCATTTAGGTTGGAAAAGACCTTTAAGATCATCAAGTCCAACCGTTGAAGTGGGAGCAGCCTGAGGGGCTCCCCGGCTGAGGCGCGCTATCTTACCCTGTTGTTATTTATTACATCTACAGTAATGGGCAAAGTGTCATGTTAATGAATTGATTAATTAACACTTTCACTTTTCATCTCAGGTAACAAAAACTGAGACTGCAGTAGAATCTGCATGTGACTTCTTGCATTATAAATGTGAATGTTAAGAATTTGGGTTTTCTCTTTTTCACAGTTCCTTTAGCAGCATATAAATGGCTGGTTTGCTACCTGCTACGAGAAAGTGACCAAAAGCTGAGCAAGGAGAGGCAGTCTGGGCGAAGTGATTTTGAGGCAAAAAACAACTGTCAGGTAGTACTTATTCAACTTTCTTATTTTATTTACTTATTTTCATCCAAGTTTGTCGGATCCTGTTAGTTTTATCTTCTTGTGTCATGAAGTACAATTTCCTCAAGCATAAAGCTGCAAGTCAAATAACTAATAAAATGTAATACCTGTCCATGTGCATTGTATTGAACATGATAGCAGGAGGACAGTTACCATCAGCAGAAGTCTTCCAGGATATATTTCCCTTCAGAAAAATTGCGGGCATGTGCTGGGTGATGTCTGTAATTTTGATAGCACAACTTCTGAAAACTAAATCTACTACTATTAAATCTGCTGCAGCATCTGATTATTACATCTCCATCTGCTCTTGTGGCCAAATACATACTGTAGGAAAGAATCTTGCTCTGGCAGGTAGGTAAACTAGGTGACCTAATAGGTCTTTTCCATCTCTAATTTCTATAGTGCAAAGTACTCATGAAAAATACCAGACTGACAGCATTGGAACCTGAACAGGAAACATTGACAATCTACTTATAGCAGATCCACTCTCTCATCAGAGAGTTTTAACAGCTAGGAATGGCTTAACTCCAAATTTCATTGTATATCCCCAAGCTCCCCAAATTCTTCCGTTACCTCCATGAGAAAAACTGGCTCACATCCAAGGAAAGAATACTTGTCATTTGTCACTAAGATCTGTTCCTTGAAGGTGGCCAATGTCATTCACCTTATCTCCAAAGCTCATTAAAAAACATCAGGAAGGAATATTGAACTCTGCACCTAGAAGGAGCCAGCCTAGCTTCAACAGGGGATAGTCTGTATGAAACAACTGGTAGATTGGAAGAAATCTTTCCTGTTTTTACCCTAGAAGCAGCTTATTAGAGAAACTCTTCAGGGTCAAATTCAGAATGGGAATTGCCAGAAATTCAAGTCAGATTGCCTGTCAAGTTGGCCAGCTCTTGGAAGGCTGGTGCCAGGGCCAGTGTGTTAGGGAGTATGATTTGCTCAGAATTATGAAGGTTCTCTTCTCTTTTATGTTCAAATGTTCTAAAATTTAAAGATACTTAGGCACAGAACTGCTTTTGAGATAGGCATTGATACACCTTAGGTCATTAGGTTTTCTTTTTGCTCTACAATTCATCTTCAGGGCAGTAGGACTTTTTATTTTAAATGGCATGCCTCAAAAACATCTGAAAATTATTTACAAGCTGTGCTTTAAAGACGTGCACATATTTGATTTAAAACTTCCTGGGCATGAAGAAGCACTTTTCTGTCAGCCCAGTGGCTGATTGATATATATTTGTTCTTGCTATGGGAGATCTGGAAGAGATTCCTAGCCTATCACTAGGTTATTTTGGTTTGGGGATAGCTTGATAGAAACAATATAGAAGTGCAAGCAAAGGTGAAGAAGGAAATAGAATTATAGGGGAGAAGAATAAAGAATTAATTCTTAATGCTTCATTTGTGATGTTAAGACTTATTTCCTTCTGACTAGGGAATTGACATTCATATCTAAAAAAGTCAGTCTAGTAAGGGAGAAGTCCTCCCTAATCCTGCAGAGGATAGATGTTTATTTTGCAGTTCATACTTGTATCTGAGCTTGGATGTAAGTATGCCACTGAACAGCTATCAAGAGAGAGACAGTAATGTTTGGAATAATGCCTTTTTTAAATGCCACTGTGGATTTAAATGCAAGGATGATGCAAGTATTTAAAAGAAAAAAGAAAAACTAATCAAATAATTCTAAATGAAAAAAAAACCTGAACAAATGGGCTGAAAACAAACACCAGTTTACAGCATTGCAACAAATCAGCCACAACAGCAGTCGTTTCATATTCCCCTTCTGTTCACCAACAAGAATGTTTTCAGTCAGCAGTGTGTTTCATGGTAGGACATATGCCACGATGCAACCAAGGTGTAGTATATAAAAGTTGACAAGTCCTATGCGAGTACAATCACTTAAGGTTTTATACTCTATATTAACAATAGCTGGTGACTTGCCTTTCTGATCAGATAGTTGGCAAGGATTAGTTGGATAGTTCTTTCAAAACATACCACAATCTATTGCAATCCATAAACAGAATCCACTTATGCTAACATGATCAGATTTTTTATTTATTATTTGAAGGGACTGTAATAAGTTTTCAATAGGTTACTGAACCACTTTGAAGATTTTATCCTCTTTATAAAACTCTGCATAGTATTAAAAAATGTAAACCTATCTTTATGTTCTTAGAGTTATATGGGTTTATTAAAGATCCTAAAGTCAGCAAACCTGATTTTGCATGGTCTTCTCTCTGATGTTGCTACTTGACCCCATACAGTCTGCATGCAACTGCCAAATTACACTGGTAACAGGCGTACAATCTGTGCTTCCTTTGGATTGGTATAAGAGAGTACCCAAACTGGAACACAGTGGAAAATTACAATCTTATTTCTAAGACGCATTTCATGAGGCATTTAATGACTAACCTTTGCAAAGACATTGTAGAAAGAGTTTTCTCCTAGAGTTTCTTCTTAGACTTTCTTTAATCTCAAGCTAGGTCAGCAGATCTAAATCAACAAATCTCCACTAACTTCACCAGAGCAATGCCATTTTGCACCAGCTGAGGATTGGTTCCTTGTATTTTTTTACTCAGTGTCCTTCTTTTCTGTTTCCTAAGGTGTACTACTGTCGATCGTTAGCCATTGCTTTTATTGAACAAACTGTCTTACAAAGATACCATGACTACACTCATGATCCCAGCATACCACCTACTCTGCAGCCAGTGCTTAAGAATCTCAGTGCTCTGTATGGACTGTGGTCTTTAAGTAAACATCTAGCTGTGCTCTACCAAGGTGAGATCAGCTCCCTGAATATACCGTGCATGTCACTTTTATAAAGTCCTAACTTAAAGATTAGGAATTTTTTTTCCCATGTTGTATCTTGGCAGCGGGAGGGAATCCTTATTAGGATTTAGATTAGAGCATTTTTCTTACTGCCTGTGTAATACAAAACAATCATTCTGGACAAAATTTTCGGGAGCAGGAATCTGGAACGACAAATTAACCCAAAAGACTCTCTCTTGGCTCAGAGATGATGGAGGACTCGCAAGTTTTGCTGTGGTCCAGTGCTTGGGGGAGAGGATGGGGAATAGGCAGCAAGATGCTGTAGTGTAGCTTGTTAATGCAAAAGGATCCAAATGTCTTAGATTAATGGTTTTGCAGTCAACTCATTAATGAAAGACAGTCAATCCAATTACGCATGAGCATCTGTTTAGTCTCTTGAATACTGAACTGATAAACTCCTTTGTAAAAGGATTGTATCAGTGTAATCTTAACTGGTATAAGCTTCTTTGTGAATGTGTTTGCAGGTGGCTATGCTTCAGGTGAACAAGCTGGTAGATTTATTCAGAATGCTATTCTGGAGCTCTGCTACAGGGTAAGCCTTCAATATTGTTTGTTGTGATTAAATAATAATGTAGTTTATAAATACTAAAAAAGATATATCAGTTATTCTGTACTTCAAGGGGTAAATTAGCAGGATAATACATTAATAGTTTCTGAATAACTTTCTGTAAAGTTTAGTAACTCATTGACCCTGAATCTAGTCCTAGTTTATTTACCAAAAAACGAAAAACAACGTATCTTACAAAATAAGACTCTATCTGTGGCCTTGCAATCTTCATTACCAGTGAAATACTGCAGTCCAGTTCTATTTATTTCATTATTGTGTTAGCTCATGAATTTTTTTTCTCAACACAAAAGCTTTTCAAACTTGATTATATTCTTCGCAGGTAAGCAAAATTTCAAAGAAGAATCTGGACGTTATGTTTTTAAAGTTCAAAAATATGTGTTTTCCTGTGTGTAAACAGTACCATCTTGGTTAAAAAGTGTTTTAAAACCCATAAGCAAAGGAGGAAAACATTTAAAATACAGTCTCTTTTGGCAATTACCCTGGGAATTAAAAAAGCAAAATAAATCTAGACTCTTAATTGTGGATTTCTCTTAAGTTACCAATAGCTGGTACTTTATGAAAGTAATCTTCATGCTTCTCTGTAGTTCACAGCTAGCCATAGACAACTACAGAAGTTGCCGAATGTATGTCTTTTGCTTTTAAACAGTTGAAAGATGATGCAGTTGCCCTGGTTGATGTCTTTGCTCCTCCTGACTTCATTCTCAACTCCCCCATTGGTAAAGCTAATGGAGAGGTAAGAAAACCCATTTTAAAATTTGTAAGTTTAATCATTAAGAAGGGTATTGCCTGTAAATAGTTATAACCTATTCAAGAACTTCACAGCTACAAAAGAAAAGGAAGACACTTTTTCAGTGGAAAGTACCAGAGTTAAATTGATGTCAGGAAAAAAATGACATTTTGTATTTGCTGGAGATAGGCTTCAATGGGAAACTCATACAGTATTGCTCCAGTTTGCTCTTGTGGGCATCTGTGCTGCTGAACAAAAAAAAAATAAATTATACCATCTCCTAAGACTCCTTTAGTATATAGCTTAATATCTTGGAGAGGTAGTAAGGTGTATTTCTTTTCTGCCTAGGACTTTTGCTGCCTTTATTCGTATTCACATCACACCCAGTTTGTGTGATGTGCATATAAATGGTGTAGAAATTATTTATTTCTTTTAATTCTTCATAAAAATATTTATTTTAATAAGAGAAAGGAAAATGTAAAACTCATTCCAGTTAAAAAATATATCAGAAATTGCACAATTCTTTGAGAATTCTGTTTATCCAGTGGGAATTCTAGGATATGACAGAGTGTCTTGTACTAACCAGTGCAAGGTACAGCATTACCTAAGGGATGTCAGTAATCTTAATACAGACTTGAAGGGTGCTGTTTTGTTAGCACCTCTCCTTGCTTTAATGAATATATAATCCATCCTTGTTAAGGCTGAGAGAGACTTTTTTTATAAAGTCTAAATTACACAAAGCAAGAGTTGAATCAAGAAGATAAGAATGGCCAGTTGGATCCAGTTCACAGAATACTCTGTAACTGACAGAGGCCAAGGAAAACACTGTATGAAACAAATGAGATATTGAAGTGTTCTTTCCCTGGTGTCTCAACTGCTGGCAGTTGGTGGTTTAAGAGATATCTCAAGCCATAGCTTGTATTTGTATCATTCTGTTTAATAGCCACGGATGTATCTACCCTCCATTCATTGTTCCCATCCATTTTCAAATTCAGCAGTCTTTTGGCTTCCAAGACACCATAATTTCCATAATTTGAGTATTGTGAAAAAATATTTCCTAATCCCAGCCCGTCTGTGGGGCCCTTTTCATTCCTCTGACGGGCCTTGTTTTCCTTTCGTTTATCTTTCCTAGTTCGGACATATCCTTTCTGAGGTGTCATAACCAGACCTACAAGCAGGATTCAGGATGTGGGTGGACCATGGATTTGGCTATACTAGGTCATGGTCCCTCTCTGCTTTTTTTTCCTTGACATACTTAAAGAGCTGTATTTCATTCCAAAGCCTCAGCAAACCAAAATTCTTGCTTACTGGCCAACCCTACTCAGCAGAGCAAGCTGTGGGATAACTATTATGTAGAGACTAGTGTCACAGTACGGTAGTTTGGTTTAGTGTGGATAGACCCTGTAGAGAATCACTGGAGCCTGGGGAGACTGCCAGGAAGTTTGACAGGATTGCTGAGTCAAGTGTACTCAACGCTTTTCAATATTCTCTGTCTGCGTCTTCAAGTCTAAAGTTGTCCATCGTTCCCATGGTGATCAAGCAATACAGAAGGCAGCCCAGATGTTTCTAACTAGACCCTGAACTAAGAGAATGATTACTTTGGTAACACAATCTCTAGAAATAAGGGAGGAAAGGCCAGCTCTACATATCCAGCCATCTCAACAAGAGGACTATAATCATCACTGGAAACTTTGTTTCCGTTTCCGTAGATTTTTGAGGATCAAATTAATGAAAGGGGTCGTGGGAGGGAAGCTCCAAAGGTTACTCTGAGAGAAGGAACATCATCTGTAAGAATGTTAAGAATATCTGTATTGGCCAAAAGCCCATTTTCACCTATTATTCTGTCTTTAACAGAAGCTGTGAGCAGATGCTATAGGCAGCGATATAAAATACGGTGCAAGTACAGAGTGATCTGTTCCTAGAACATTACCCCCTTTCTAGCAGTCAACTGGAGAGTTCTTATCAGCAGCTGATAGAGCTGTCATGTAATGGATTTGGCTAGCTCGTTTTTGGCTAGCTCTTAGCTCACACAAATACAGAAGCCACAGAGGCTTATTAATATTAGAGATTAATACTAGAGATTAATATTAGGAATATCATGTGTGAGACATGCAGATAGGACTCTAAACGTTACTGACTTCCTCATGTACTAAATATTTGGTAAGGTTTTTGTAAATTCATTGAGTCATATTGAGAAAATAATTTCAAGCAATGATATTAATCCCATGTTCTGCAGAATTCAGGAAGGTTTTCTGAACTGCCTCTAAGTCTGTGGTTTTTAACTTGTGTAAATATTTTCAACTGAAATTTGAAAAAGGCTGCCAATCCCTCACTCAAAGAAAATACTTAATAAAGTTCCTTGTCTCCTGCCTGTCTTATATTTAATTGTCTATTCATTGCTATCTTTGCAACTTCTAAAAACCAATGCAAACATTTTAGTAAAAATTACAGTATGGTAAAGAATAGATTATCCAAGCATAACAGGAAAATGAATTTAATTCAGGATATCCCATGTTGTACTGCAGTGGAGTGCCTTGCACCACAAGCCACAGATCATAATTGGAGCAGAAGAAAAGTTTCCAAATTTGTTATGGGCAGCTTTAAGCAGTGAATAAGAATTCAGATTCTCGTTAAAAGAAACTTTGATGGTGTGGACATCATTTCCCCATAGAAGCTTTGACAATCTCAGCTTAAGTATGCAAAGGTATCGCCACATTTATTTCAAGATTAATTAGAAATCGTTAGACAATATTAAATCAAACTTGGAATGGGATAGATAGTTAACACTAGCCCACGTAATCAAGGTAAAAATATATTATATTTCAATATTTATTTAAATCATCACAAATATATAGGGCCAAGCCATCTTTTGATGCAGAAGAAAAGCTTTGCACATCACTGACGGCTTTTATACTACGTTAATATTGTATTATACTGTATTCCAATGTACTGCTGAAAATATGGCCTTCCTTTCCTCATCTTTCTATAACATTATTTAAAGTTTTAAGCTTCAGTTAATTATGAACTGCCAAATATTGCTAAAATTACACTTCTGCAGAATTTACTTCCCGTGTACTTTTTTTTAACCATTCCACGTAAAATTGCAAATTGATGAAGATGATTAACATTCTGCTTATGAGAGAAGAATTTCTTATGCTTAGGTCGAACAGTTCATGTCTGGGAGAGAAGTTACGTTACTTTTCAGAAATGTGTTGAAATAAAGGTAAAAATAGATATGCACAAGTGCTGTCAGACACAGTTTTCAGGTTTGGACAGAACAATTATTAGCTTAATCTAACCTTGTTTCCAAATTTCTACCTTTGATAACACAAGTTGTCAAGTTGAAAACAAGAAATTATAAAGATTACTGGTTTCCTGCTCTTATGCCAAGGATGTTCTAAATGATTTACACAGGTATCTGATGTTTACAGTACTTCAAGTTTTGTGCATTATCTTTGTGTTTATGCCTGTACATAATTATTCACATTTGTTATCTAGAAATTCAATCACAATCTCATTTCAACCAATAAGTTAGATAATTTATCTTGCAGAAGTTTTCTTTCATTTATTGTCTGTATGAATTAATCCTTTTTTATTATTATTTTGCAGTTATATAAAAATATGTGGGCAGAGATCCTTCAAGGCAGCAAAGCTCTGAACAGACCTTCATGGTGGGCAGAATTTTGTATTAATAAACCTGTTACAGGCAGGCTGAGGTCAAGATTGTAAACCAAACAACTTGTAAGAGGCTGGATGGGCCTGAGATGGATACCATATTTCAAACATCAGGAGGAAATGAGACCATATGTCGAACACTGAAAATGAAAGAGATTTTCATAGAGAAGTGCCAAGTTTTAAAATAACTTTGAAATCAAGTCCAACTTGGTCTCAGGGACTGTTAACATAATAATGACAGGAGCAAGAGCAACACATCTGCACACTATTCATATTTACTCAATTAAATACAAAAAAGTAAAGATTCGTTATGATCACTGCTTTGCAAAGTTTCCATAAAAAAATGTTCCAATCAGTCTCTTGAATTTACTGTCATATTACAGAAGTTAAATAATTAAAAAACATTTCCCACCAGGGATTATGAATAAGCTGAACAAAAGCAAAATAAAAGAGAATGTGAAGAAAAAAGAAAAAAGACATCAAGAACACCAACAGTGATAAACCTGTGTTAAGGGATAGGAATCATTTCCGACAGCCCCTTTGAAGTCTATGAAGCTATTCTGATTTACTTCATATGCCTCTGTGTTAAACTACTTGACTGCTCTTTCAGTGCAAGAGGGGATTGGGATTTTAGATAATCTGTCTTTGAATTGTGTATAACTCTGTAGGTAAAATTAATTGAAAACGACTCATTTATGCATCTTTTTTAAAAAAATGTATGGTAATGCAAACTTGTAAGTCTTATATACGTTCTTGGTTGGTATAACGTTTTCAGCACTGCAAAACCAGTATCAAGCCTGGGATACGTTGACACACATAGAAACTGCATCTGTGTTCTAGGTCAGAATATACTCAGATGAATTATTATAAATATGGTCTTATAAGAACATACAACAGTGGTAGGCATTATTGAACATATTAGGATATTTCTCTTTCAGCTGTATTAACTATCAAATATTTTTATTCACAAATGGAAGAGACACTAACAAAGCTTTGAAAATTCAAAATATTTTATGTTTTAGATATGCTGTGAAAAACAAATTAATTTTTTCCTTTATTGTGTCTATGAACTGAAGTACTGATAAGACCTAATTCCTGTTGCCCTTACTGTTGTGAGCAATCCTATCAAGCCAAAGAGATTATTTTGTAAGTTAAAAAATTGAGTAGTATTTATGGCTAATCAGGGATGAATTATGGTTTGGGTTATTAAATAACTGATTTCAGTATTTGAGTGTTGAGCGGAATCAGACCCTTGTCCTTGTGGGGTTTTATAATTTCATCTATTGTTGCAGTATATGAAAGTTTGTAAGTCTTTACAGACTGCCACAATGTGACCAAGTAGTTCTATAGTGACTTCTTTGATTCCATCTAAATCTGACACAGCTCAGGAAACATTTAATGGTTGGAGAATGCGTTGAAAGCCCGGTGTTAAAAAGATTTCTCAGAGTACTGCAAGGTATATTTATTTACTAAACAGATTTTTTTTTTTAAGTTTTTGTTTGTGTTTTTAAGAGCAGTTTGTCAGAGAACCTGGGGACGCCAAGTGCGTAATAATACAAGTACAATTTAGGACAGGCCAGACAGAAGCTTTATTAACTACGATCATAGTGGGAAAACATTTGGAGGGCATCTTCCCCTCTGCTCCCCTGTTCCTAGCCAACTGATTGCAGAGACCCAATTTATATACCATTGCAGAAAAAAGAAAGAAAGAGGTGAGGAAGAGCAACCATTTCAATGTTAACAAAGCCAGGTATCCATCCCTGGAGGCATAGACTCCTTAGGTAGCTTGCTAACTGCCACAATTCTAAGGAATCAAACAATAAATAATACGACTATATGAAGAGATGGCTCTTGGTGGAGCCTGTCGTAGTGGCACAACGTGTGTTATCTTAGCTCAGAAGTGGGAAGTTGGAAACAATCACAGACTGTTAGCTTTTAGTCGAAAGGAATGTTCTTTTAATAAAGATAACTTGTAGCCAGACCTCTTGATCTTAAATATTAATAATTTTACCGCCATAAGTTCAAGGTCAATTAAAGACGATCACTCTCAACACACTTCAGTTAAAAAAAAAAAAAAAGCAAACAAAAAAAACCACCAAAATGTGGAAACTGTCGTTTATAGTCCCATTGGAAAAATGGATAAAAACTATCTTGTTAAACCTTACCTGTATTTTTTTTCCGAACATCATTTTCTTTGCCAGAGATAGTGTTGCCTGTGGTTTTTCTGTTTCTTTCTTCTAGTCTAATGAGGTACCATAATTCAGGATGTCCCAATAGAAGCTCTTTGTCTAGCTATTGAACTGTAGGAATCAGTTAAAAGTTTAGCCTTCTTTGCTGAAAAAAAACCCAGTGTAAAGTATTTATTTTCTTTGAACTGTTTTGCCTCTTTTAATAATGTCCAATAGGTGGCATCATCCCATGAAAAAAATAGATCAATACAGCTAAATACCTATCATTAGATATTAGGGAGTAATGCAGTCTCATTATTATCTTCATCTACTTTTTGTATCTCGAGGAAATCCAGCAAGTCTCTTGCATTTGTGCAGACCTGAAGGAAGTAGGCAGAGAAATTATGCCCAATATCCCGTGTGAGCACCGGGATCTCTGACAGAGGAAGGGGCACATGGGGAAGAAATGCCCTGCTACGTAAAATGCACAGACCAGTAGCATTGATCTGTCACTCCACGTTCTGTACTATCAATTGATCAGCAGCATTATTTCACTGTCTTACATGCATGCAATTTCACCATCACCTCTGAGCTCTTCATAAGTTATATGGTCTTTTCCTGCCTCCTTCCTCACAGCTGGGAAGCAGAGCTGTGTATAAGTCTTGCATATAGACTCTAAGTCTATTTATGAGGCCTTTGTAGCCCAGAAGGAAAAACAAAGGTGTTTGACATGTAGCTTAAGCCACCTTCATCCAAAAAAAACCCCTGAGGAATCATCTGTGTCACAGTAGAACAGAACTGAAGACCCTGTGAGCCCCAAAGATACCCACCAAACACATGACAAGAAAAACAGACGCCTCTGTAGAAATATATCCCTAAGCTGTTCCTGCTAATCTTGTTTATTATGACTATTTAGTCAACATCCAAACTCCCTGATAAAAGCTGATAAGGACTGTACAAACTGGCAGGGAAGTGTGCTGTTTGGTCTGAAAAGCTTCTGACTTCGACTAGAGCAAGCGCTGCAGAGAGTGCCTCAGTAAGAACGTGATTATGGGCAGGCCAAATGCGTTACTCAGTAAAATGTCACAATTATGGACACTAATATGAGCTGTCACACAGCTTGCACTAAGCTTAGCGCTTCATGGGATCCTTGGATACCCACACAGTTAGTGGCAGGAGTTAGACACCCAAGCACCAAAGCTGAAATAGGTAAAATCGAAGCAGGGGTACTGTGAGGCCTTGGGGATTTACTCTTTACAACACCCCACATCTCTCCACCCCTGCCATGGGGTGATGGTGGCTGCTCACCAAGACTGTTTGCAAGCTCAGTGCCAGGTGTCCAGCAGCTGTTGGGCTTTATGTGCTGCCAGCAAAGGCTATCTCCGTTTACTCTTACAACTGGCACAAAGCCATGGCGCAACGAAAGCAGGCTCATTCTATGCGCCAGAGCCACTCTGCACGCAATAATTGTCAAAACTCTTAATATTTGCTGAATGAATATCTGGATAACCATTCTTTAATCAGTTATCACTATGAATTTCTGACCTGTATGTTAAGCCAGACCTGCATAATCAAATGAGCAAAATGTCCTTTTCCTCTGAAGTCAACAATAAGCCAAAGGTTCTAGAGGTCTTCTACATCCAGCTTCTCAGAGCAGCAGAAATTGTAAGTGTGACCTTGCAGAGTTGCAGCATGGGGGGAGAAAGATGTCATGAAATTTGGCATCCAATTCTCTACTAAATCATAGAGCAATAATTCAACAACTACCACAAGATGTCATTATTATATGCAGTTTGTTCCTCTCTACAGGACATTAAATAAAAGAGGCCTCTGGCAGAACAGAAAAGTCATTTCCCTCCCAGTTCAAACGCCAAACAAAGTTCTATGTGTCATTTTAACTTGGTTGGGGAGCTGGGTCAAAGGCTGTCAAATAGCTTCAGTCCAAAACAGTTTGGCCATGGGAATCTGTCCTTTCAAGCTGCCACAGAAGGCAGCTAAATCTGTCACCAGAAAGTTGCGTCCAAGTAGGCCTGAGAGAGCCCCAGCCTACTGCTCCCCCTGTGCCCGTGATGGCTTGTCTCCCGGATAGGGGCATTTTTCTTCCATGTGGCTTTGTCAAACCACCTACCTGCCAAGGGTATTTCAAACTGGTTTCCTCCGTGATGTGGTATTTCTGCTGATGTGACAGTTAAAGCAAAAAAGCTCTTTTCTATCAGAAAAAGCCCAAATTGTTCATGTGCATTGGGACACTGAGTGCACACATCTCCCTTGCTGATGTGGCAAGGTAAATACATGAATATTTAACATCACCTTTTGTAGGAGGGATGGTGTCAGGCGAAAGACTTAGGGAGCCCGATGGAAGCCCTACCGTCTTTACAGCTGCAGTTCTGTGGGTACAGGTTTCCCAGAGGAGTTTGTTTTCTGCAAAGATAAGTAGACTCATATGCTGCCATTTCTGTCTGAAAGCCTCTTTCCCACTGTAATAAATGATTTATCATGTGTTCTGCAGGGTAGCAAGTTTCTCTTCTGTTTGCCTTTATCCATGTGTTTTCTTTACTGACTTAATGTGTTTTCAAACCTGACCGGTCTCTCTCTCAGATGCAACCGTATGGACCTCACGGAGGGCTGTGTTTCCTCTCGTAGCACTGCACCTCCATGGGCCTTAGCAATGTTTTGTTATTCCCAATTCTCGTTAGCCTGAGATCAGAGTAAGGCTCCAGATCATTTTAGCTCGGTTCACTGGCCTAAGGAGCACCACCAGCAAAGGCGAGCTCGCTGCGTGAGACATCCATGTGATAGTATAATCTGAGACAGACAGATCCAGCCACGGGAAGGTCAGCTGTGATCACAGCAGGCTGCCCACAACACTGTCAGTGGGAACAGAAGCATAAAGCTCCACTCTTCTCCAAGCGAGTCAAGTCACAGGTTTATCAAGTACAAGCAGAGCGTTTCACATCGTTTCCTTTCAGAAGCAGAAAGAGGGATGAATGCAGTTTTTGCTGAGAGCAACAGTTCTGCTGGCTACCTCGCTTTTTTCTTTACCAAATTTTTGCAGTCTGGTTTCATTTGTTCAGCATGGCCACAGCATGAATCTCTCTTGAATAAATGCAGTTTCCCTCAGGATTTTCTTCGCTGTGTTTGTCAAAGAATAGACCAGCAAGTGTGTGGCTAGGACAATTCCCAGCA